GAGTCGGCCATGGCAAGTGGGGAGTTTAAGTGTTTCTGCAAACGTGTGTACGCGGGATTTCTCTGCGACGCTTTTTGAGTGGAGTGGCAGTTTTGTCAGTGTTTTTTTGGGTCAGAAGAGCCTGTTTGTGTGTTTTATTTGTTATCCTTGTGCACTATGAGACCTTCTGCAGGAGTGAGTGCAAGGCTTCCTCTGACAGCATATTTCTACACTATGCTCTGCAATCTCTTGATCTTAGGTTAAAGCACAAAAATCACGCAACTCTATTCTGTTTGTTCCTCCTAATTTATGGGTTAAATGTCCTTTAGCAGACACTAGTCGAAGGAAAATAATCATGATAATGTGTAAAGAGATTGGCAAATGCCATATTTATTTCTTAATCCTTCATAAACAGTTTTTTTTACAAACCTTAACATGTTGTGCTAGAAAAGGTGTAATCTTGCATTATCTGGCTGGATTACTTCATAGCTTAATATGTGTTTTTTTTGTTCTCCTTCTGCAGAGCCAAGTCAAAAAATGGAGGTCGCTCTCTAAGAGAAAAGCTTGATAAGATTGGGCTCAACCTGCCTGCAGGAAGAAGGAAGGCAGCCAATGTCACTCTACTTACCTCACTAGTAGAAGGTATGACATGTCAGTGTTTCATAGCACTTTCTCAGTTATAATTGTTGTTTGCAGCAGCTGGAATGTCGCTTTCAGAGTGTGGGAACGTCAATCTCATTAGGAACTGTACAGTATCATAAATGATTCTCCAAACACCATTCATTGCTTAAATACTCCATTATATGAATAAAATGTCAATGATGCAAAGTTTTGTTTGACAAAGAACTTTGTATCATTTACCAGCTTTCAGTTGCACGTTACTTGCCCTTTGGCTCCCATAGTGATTCTGTCCGTTTAGCCAAAATCAGAGTGACTGAGCTGATGTTTAAATGCAAGCTGGTTGTCCTCAGTCTTGAGCTATCAATATAAATATATATTTATAAATGTATACACAGGCACAGACACACAAACACAATATAATCCTTTTTACTAGTCTTTGATATTTTTTAGGTTACTGAGTGTCTACATAACACTAATGGAGTAGCAGAACAGCTCAAAAACACATTTCAGCACCAGTTTTATCACTGTGTTTTTTTTTTGTTTGTTTTTTTTTTTACAATTTTAGTGTTTTGTATTATACTGGACACAGTAAGCAGTAACATGGCCACAGTCCTTCTGTAATATACTGCCAGGGAGACCTTCATCTTCACTTGTCAATGTCTTGAATACTAAAACAACATCCTCAGTTGTACCTTACCCAGAGAGTGATGCTTCTCCATGAACACGTTATCACTTTAATCACATCTACCTGCCGCTGGCTAAGGTAGAATATTTTTTCCTCTCTTTCTCCCTACACGCCTAATTTTCATAAATGGGCTGATGATTCTGAGCAGGAGAATGACTTGAGGCTTGTGTTATTTAGAGACCTTCAAAGCTGAATTAAGCCTTGTTATCTTGTGTGCAGCTCGCCAGGAGGGCCTACTGACCTTAAAGCTTGTGCTTCTGAATAGCTGCCCGTGTCCTCAAGTGATGTGCGTATCTATCAATAAGTGGTACTGTTGGTGCCTTGGGCACTCTCTGCTAGCATTTATCCACATAAGCCCATTATGACCATGCAAGTCAAACCACCCTCAAGACGGAAATATATTCATCTCACTAGCTCTTGTTCCCCCAAGCTATAAGACTGGGCACAGCTGATTATTCTGTAGTTCAAATGCTTCACTTCGTGTGCCTTGATGCTTAATGCGTGTATCAGGTCCAAAACGGAGCTGCTAGCATAATGCTATAAATTGATAAATTGCTGAGGCCGGCCAGCTTACCATTTGATCTTTGCCCAGTCAGTGATATCCAGTGATAATGCCTGTGTAAACAAAAATCTTTATTCTTTCATGAATTTCATCTGGAATTGAGACCAATAGCCAAGTGTCAACTTCAGTGCTGTCTTGTACTTGGGTTTAGAGGTGACGTGTTCTTTTCTCTTACAAGGATTGTTTTCTTCTTCTTCTCTTAGGTGAAGCTGTTCATTTAGCAAGAGACTTTGGTTACGTGTGTGAGACAGAGTTCCCTGCAAAGGCAATTGCTGAATACCTGGGCAGGCCGCATGTGGAACGCAACGAAGTTAACTCTCGCAAGAACATGCTCCTTGCTGCCAAGTAAGTCTCTTGTCTGGATGGTTGCCTGTAATTTGTAAAGAAATACACCTCTAGCAAAGCGGCATGTAGCTAGCTGACATCTTTTGTGGGTATCAGTATTCATTGATTCCTGGATGATATTGCAGATTGGATTTCCTGCAAACTTTGTTCTCAGATCCCAATGAAACAGATTCCTAAATCATTTTGGTTTTCTACCTTCAGGCAAATCTGCAAGGAGTTCACAGACTTGCTTACTCAGGACCGTTCACCTCTGGGAAACTCGCGGCCGGCCCCCATCATGGAGCCTGGAATCCAGGGCTGCCTGACCCACTTCAGCCTCATCACTCATGGCTTTGGCTCTCCAGCCATCTGCGCCGCCATGACCTCACTTCAGAACTACCTGAACGAGGCGCTCAAACAAGTGGACAAGATGTACCTTACCTCTGGTAGTGACACCCAGGGGTCCTCAGACAGTGGAAGCAAATCTACCGACAAAATGGACAAGCACAGGAAATGAGAACTCAAAGCAGAATCCTTATGAACTTGAGAACCCCTGAGTCCCTTAATCTTACTGCCCTGTCTGCCCTTTTTGGACTTATAAAAATCAATATTGATTGCTAAGTATTGTCATTTTGAGAGCTGAATTTGTGTGTATGTGTGCGTGTGTACTTGTTCTGTTGAATTTATATCAGATTTTTTGAGAAGTAAATGATTTCTCAGAACTTGTCACAGCTGGCCGCAGAGCAGTCTGTGTTGGCACATACGGTGAACTTGTCCTAACGGGAGCCCACGTTGCGAGGACGTGATGCACACCATATCGTACTAACCACTTTGCAGTTCCACACAGTTGCCAGTGTGCTGGCTACAACCATGGGACCTGTACTCAGTTGACAAGAGGAGGAAAAGAACAAAGTGCATACTGTTTTTCTCTCCCCAGAGGACATCATTTCAAGATGATGAAGAGTTGCTGTGGCTGTGAATTCCTCTCAGCCCCCCTCCGCGCTCTGTCTGGAGGCAAATCCACTGATTTCCTGTGTCTCAATGGACTTGCAAAGGACAACTTTTTATATGAGAAAGAAGGAGAAGAAAATCCACTTCATATTTTTGTGCTTGATTTGTACAACCACTTCAAAATGGCTCCAGTGTTATTGTGCTTTGTTCATGAGAGATGATTTGAATCTTATGTAGGCCTGAATGAGACAAGACAATTTTGGGTTTGTTATTCTGTGTGGTTCTGAAACCAGCCTCTTCAGTGTTCATGTGGATTACAGCAATGCTTCTGTTGTTACTCCATCTTTTAAACCTGGCAGCGAGAACAAGTTATTTTTGTGTTAGGTATTCATCATTCTTAGTATTTAAAAACCCAGGTCACCATCACCTACCAACCAGTTCAGTCCTGCCAGAGTGTATGTATGTTGTGAGAATGTGTGTAAATGTATATAATTCATTCTTTAAAAATGTTTTTAATTAGACATTAAATTCCAAACATAGAATTTTATCCAGTGTCTTGTCCTGGATGTAAATATTTTCTAATTTATGTTGTAATTTAATGGGCTTGTGTAAATAGTGGTATCATTCTGGTGTATGGTTTCACTTTTTATGATGTGTTAAACTTTTATAAATGGGTTAGTTTTTTATCGCGTAGAGGTTAGGAAGTGGGCATGATATACTTTTTTGAAAATATGTAAAAGAAAACTGTTTCAGGAAAAATAAAAAATGAAATGAAAGACTGAAACCTGATTCAGTGAGTCAATGATGTTGCCTAGGCCACACAAACACAAATGTACACACACAGTTTTTTTTGTGCACTATTGTGCTGTAGCCTTCTTTTCAGCAGCATTTCACAGACGATGGTTAAGTCATGTGTTGGAAGATGTTCCTATTAATAAACAGCTAACAGAAAAAAAATCTCAAAGTAATGGGAACAGTAGCCATCATTATCTGCTTCCATAGCTTCACAAATAAGCTGTATGGCTCAGTAAAGGCTTGCAATGCACAGCTGAGAGCAGACAAATGGCTTGTTTATGTTTAAACCTATTATTGACACATACTGAGTAGATAGTTCCTGGAGTCCATCTCTTAACATCCTCTTAACTTAACGTCCTGAGCTTGCTGTAGTGTCTCCTGCTTGTGGATATTTCCTCTTTCCTGTGTTTGAAGCAGGTTTGCTACCATGTGAAGCCTTATTCTGCCTTTAGTTTAAAGGTGTAATGTGGTTTTACACTGCATGTTACAAATCTTCAGTAGCAGAAGAAGTACTGAGAACTGTTACTTAAGTAAACGTAGAAACACCACTGTGTAAAGTGCTAAAACATACAAGTATTAGCATCAACATATGCTTAAAGTACCAAAAGTAAAATTACTTATCATGCAGAATGGCTAATTTCAGAATAATATTTTATATCAATGGATTATAATTATTGATGCATTAATCTGTTGATCAGTGATGTTGCAGCTGGTAAAGGTGGAGTTGGGTAACGATTCTTGTTAATACATAAAGATTTATTAGTTGATTATATTTTATATTAATTGTCTGCAAAAAAACTGTATAACTAAAATGTAGTAAAAAAAAAGTGTAGTAAAAAGTACAATATTGGCTTCCAAAATGTAGTGGAGTAGAAGTAGCATAGCAGCATAAAATGGAAATATACAAGTAAAACACATGTACCAGTACTTCAAAAAATTTTAGTAGAATTCTTGAGTAAATATACTTCTACCAGTGCAATTCCTTTGATGTCTGAGAAAAAGAAGTGGCACAAATTTGCAGATGGGATTTACGTGTGGCGCAAGGTTGCTTAATCATCACTTGCCTAGCCAATCCCTGCTGATTCACCTTGTCTGTGCAATTATTTGTTTCAGGAGCTTGCTGCTAATTGTCTGAGCCGAAGCAACTCCATACCAGTGCCAATTGAAACACACAGCTGGATTTATGAGTAGTATCAACTTTATTTGTATATAGTATATATATCTGCACGTGTTGCACCGACATTTCTCTTCATATGCGCTGCATTAGGCATATATCCTGCTTTGGAGGTCAGTAGGTGAAACCAGTGTTTCGCAATGACCAGGCTACATGTTAGAGAGCAGCAGCAGCAGCAGAAGCAGCAGCAGCAGTGTGCCATACCTAGCAGTTAAACAAGTATCAGCCTCTCCCCTCAGAACCTGTTTAACCAGACCTGTCAACCTGGTGGCTTACTGCTCTCACAGCGGTTGACTTTAACTGCCTTCAGTTACTCATGTTAGCTCGTAAGCTTGGCCCTGAGAGAGTAGATAATTAGAGGAGGAGGAGGTGGTGGTATAAAAGGAGAGGGAGGTATTGGTGAAGGGTGGCAGAGGGAGAAAGAGGAGGTGGATTTTGGGTGGCTTTGATGACCGGTTGAACACGGTTGAGAAAACACCTCGCTGTGTCTGAGGCTTTGATTAGAGATTTTTCATCCGGTCGCCTCTTTCTCGGCTCTCTTTCATGTTGTCACTCTGTCAGAGTATTCACATCGCAGGGCATTTGTTTTGGTAGCTGTGAGCAACGAAACAAACTCATGTCCCATTCACTTTCCTCACCTTGAGCAAATGTGTTGAGTTAGACCTTGTCAGATGAGTATCTGAAGCTGGACACAGATAACCGTCATTTTTTGAGCATTCCCAAATGACGTATCAGCTAAAGTAAACCAGGTATACAAGAACAGTTAAACATTTACAAGGTGATTATTAAACATCTATATCCTACCAGAAAAATATCATGTTTTTAATCAGACCACAGTGCACCTGTTTAATATGTGTCATTCCTTATCACATGTTTTCCAGAACACAACATGGTAATTGGTCAAACATTTTCCTGTGAGACAGCATGAGTAATTCACCTCTGACACGCCTAATAAAGCTGGGAAAAGGAGGCGAGCGTAGACTTGTTGAGCTTACCTGTTACCTTCCTTTCTTCTTCCTTAATGAAAAAAAAAGAAACCCATATACTTCTTTTATTGTCAGAGATTATATCGGACATGCAAATATAATCTTTTGATGTCATCAGGATGCCCAGGGCTACTTGTCAACTCCAGATTCACTGAACTGTAGTCGTTTTTCATGCCAGCTCTGACTGAATGACCTTTCTATGTAGGTCACGGCAAGTCACATGACAAAGCTGTCAGGAAAGTAGAAACTTGATCTTTAGTTTATTTATTTAAACTCTCATTCAAATACACTGGATAAAATTATCTTCTTTTCATTTTTGATTACTTTTAACACTGAAATGACAGCGGTTCAATGGCAATCAGCTTTTCAAAAGTAAAAGTCAAGAGGGAGGAACATCAAGACAGAAAAAGTAATAAAAAAAAGTAATCAGTTTCTCATAACAATCTGAAAATATATTTAGAAATATATATTAACTTCCCCCCACTGACAGTTACAAATTTCATAGTATTTGGCCACCATGTTCCCAGATACTTAGCACTTTACTTTCACCCCTTCCATTTAGTCCAACCACTTCCCTTCTACAACTGCCTTTGAAATCTGTTGTACATTAAGGTTCATTTGCAGTCAGACTAATCGCTTGGTTGAAGTTCCCAACCACTGAAACCACTTTATGAGTTAAACCATGGTCTTAACATCCCACGTCACAAGCGACAAGTCATACTGATGACAGCAGATTCTCATGTGTAAATCAGAAGTCGAGGTCAAGTCATTTCCAGCTCAGTAAACACGAGAAGCAAATGATCGCTTGAATTCAAAATATGTGCCGGTCAATTGGAAAGGAAAAAATTAGCAATATGAATCTGCACACGATGAATAACGCCCTTACAAACTCATCAAAATGTTCTTGTTCATCGTCACCTTAATTCATTGACGGCTGGTGTGAAAAAAAGTGGATGGTGACTCCATTTGAAGGCATTTGGCTGTTAATCTAGCAAGCAAGAAAACTTTATTATAATTTAACCAAAAATATCTGTGTGAATACTTACATTAATGGTCTCTCTGGAAAGAAAATACTTTCTTACGTGATTTAGGCAAGATTAAAAATGAAATGCATTTCTTGTTTTATTCCTCATATTTCATGATTTAACAACTGTTGTTGTTGTTTTTCTCTGACAGTTGCCACAGACACAACAGAAATGTCCAAAAAGACAATAAACAAAACTTACTAACTAACTACACTTTTTGGTAAAATGGCTTTCATCGGTTTTTTGTTTGTGAAAACATGTCTGTGTTTTAGGAAGGGGACATTTTTTTGTGGCAGATTTTATTCATCAAGTTTGGGACACAGTTCTTTGTTTACAATGTGATAATATATTCAAGAAGTTGCGTTCTTGTTTCACTGTTCAACAGTATTTTGGTGTGTTATAAGGCCTTGTGGTCTGTGCACCTACATGACACAATACATAATGCACAGTAACTAACTTACTAACAATATAGCACTTTTCAAAGCGGAAGTTACAAAGTACTTTCAGGAAGAATACAATGGGAAAGGCGGAGATAAAAGAGACAATATATAAAAAGAAGCAGAATTCGGTGCAACTTATCGAACTAAGTGAAAGCCAAAGAAAACAAAGCTTTTGGCTTCTCTGAGACATCTTCTTCAGGCCAACAGTTGGTGTTATCTGCACGACAAGGAATGCAATACAGGGTAATTGGCAGTTTGTCAGAAAAAGGAGCATGCACCAAAGAATGAGTGATGGGATTCGCTTCCTAAATTTGTTTGCTTTACTTTCCTGGATTTACGTTGGTTCTACTGTTTGCTTGTTGTTTTAAAGAACTTTTAAATCGTGTCTACTCCCAGCATGACTCGCTCCTGTGTGGCAGTAAACTCACACACCTGGAATTATGGTGAGTGAACTGTGCTGGTATTTGCTTGCTGTGCTGTATTTTACAGCAGTTGGGGAACATGGCGAGTTAGATTTTGTCTGGAGGATACTGTCAGCCTTACGTGTGTCCAGTGCAAAATGGTTGTTGTGGCACCTTGACAAACATTTCAGTGTTCCTGTCCAATTCAGTGATGCTCTCCAAAGTGGTCACCACCTTCGGTTTATAAGAAACCTTTTTGAGATGAAAAGAAGGTACATACTTAACTAAATGAAAAATCCTCTTGATTCCTACATAACAGGCCACTTGGACCTATAATTACTGCCATTTCAAAAGTAGCTTAGTACAATACTCATAATACATCTGGTGACAGTACTTGGAAGTGGCATAACTGTTAGTTAACTCTGATGAAGACAATGTAATTAAATAAAGAAGATACAACTATTCATATGATCAGTGGAATCATTTAATGCCATCAAAAGATCATCAGTCATCAGAGCTGAGAACATTGTATTTCTGAGTGTGTTTGTGTGTGTGGAGGTTGGGGGTGGGGTGGTGGCTGTGAGGGG